CAATTTATATAAGGGCAATAATATATTCTCTGTCTTATTCCCTATCCCCTTTTTAATGATTCCTAACATCCTGTTTGCTTTTTTGACTGCCTCTGCACACTTTGTGGACGTCTTCAGAGAACTATCCACGATGACTCCAAGAGCTTTTTCCTGATTTGTTGTAGCTAACTTAGCCCCTATCATATTGTATGTATAGTTGGGGTTATTTTTCCAATGTGCATTACTTTACATTTATCTACATGAAATTTAATTTGCCATTTTGTTGCCCAATCACTTAGTTTTGTGAGATCTTTTTGAAGTTCTTCACAGTCTGCTTTGGTCTTAACTATCTTGAGCAGTTTAGTATCATCTGCAAACTTTGCCTCCTCACTTTTTACCCCTTTCTCCAGACCATTTATGGTAAGTTAAATAGGATTGGTCCTAGGACTGACCCTTGGGGAACACCACTAATTACCTCTCTCCATTCTGAGAATTTACCATTTATTCCTGCCCTGTGTTCCCTGTCTTTTAACCAGTTCTCAATCCGTGAAAGGACCTTCCCTTTTAACCCATGACAACTTAATTTACGTAAGAGCCTTTGGTGAGGGACCTTGTCAAAGGTTTTCTGGAAATCTAAGTATACTATGTCCACTGGATCCCCCCGTCCACATATTTGTTGACCTCTTCAAAGAACTCTAATAGATTAATAAGACACGATTTCCCTTTATAGAAACCATGTTGACTTTTGCCCAACAATTTGTCGTCTTCTATGTGTCTGACAATTTTATTCTTGTTTCAACTAATTTGCCCGGTACTGACGTTAGACTTACCGGTCTGTAATTGCAGGGATCACCTCTAGGGCCCTTTTTAAATATTGGCATTACATTAGCTATCTTCCAGTCATTGGGTACAGAAGCTGATTTAAAGGACAGGTTACAAACCAGAGTTAATAGTTCCACAACTTCACATTTGAGTTCTTTCAGAACTCTTGAGTGAATGCCATCTGGTCCTGGTAACTTGTTAATGTTAAGGTTATTGATTAATTCCAAAACCTCTTCTAGTGACACTTCAATCTGTGACAGTTCCTCAGATTTGTCACCTACAAAAGCTGGCTCAGGTTTGGGAATTTCCCTAACATCCTCAGCCGTGAAGACTGAAGCAAAGAATCCATTTAGTTTCTCCGCAATGACTTTGTCGTCTTTAACCACTCCTTTTGTATCTCAATCATCTAGGGGCTCCCACTGGTTGTTTAGCAGGCTTTCTGCTTCTGATGTACTTAAAAAACATTTTGTTACCTTTTGAGTTTTTGGCTAGCCATTCTTCAAACTCCTCTTTGGCTTTTCTTATTACATTTTTACACTTAACTTGGCAGTGTTTAAGCTCCTTTCTTATTTACCTCACTAGGATTTGACTTCCACGTTTTAAAAGATGCCTTTTTATCTCTCACAGCTTCTTTTACATGGTTGTTAAGCCATGGTGGCTCTTTTTTAGTTCTTTTACTGTGTTTCTTAATTTTGGGAACACATTTAAGTTGGGCCTCTATTATGGTGTCTTTAAAAAGCGTCCATGCAGCTTGCAGGGATTTCACTTTAGTCACTGTACCTTTTAATTTCTGTTTAACTAACCCCCTCATTTTTGCATAGTTCCCCTTTTTGAAATTAAATTAAAAATAAATGAAGATTGTTGGATACGGGTCCCATTCTCCAAAAGGATTCCCGGAGGTTTTGTTTTAATCAAATAACACAACACACTTCACAACCGAGTCCCAACACACGTCCCAACGTTGATGCAGAAGCCACCTTACAGGCCTATTCTTTTTCTAATGCCATGCATGATTTTCAAACAAAAGATATTAATTTACCAGTTCTGAATGCTAATGGAAGACAGAAATACAGTAGAACTTCAAAGTTACAAACACTTGAGTTATGAACTGAACAGTCAACCACACACCTCATTTGGACCAGAAGTACATAATCAGGCAGGACCACAGACCAAAAAACAAAAAAAAACCAAATACAGTACAGTACTGTGTTAAACATAAACTAACCCCCAAAAAAAAAAAAGGAAAAGCAGCCTTTTCTTTTGCACAGTAAAGTTTCAAAGCTGTATTAAGTCAATGTTCAGTAATAAAACTTTTGAAAGAACCATAACATTTTGTTCAGAGTTACGAACATTACAGAGTTGCAAACAACCTCCATTCCTGAGGTGTTCATAACTCTGAGGTTCTACTGTATGTTCTAGTTGCAACAAAATATGCATACTTATCAGTCAAATGAATAGTCCAACTGTTTTAATTATCTAGTCCATTATTTCATGAAATGAGGAATGTCTTCTGACATACAGCGTTTTTCTTGACATGGCTTAAAAATGTATAACTGTAGAAAAAAGTGACATATTTCAATTTCTACTTTAAGTCCCATACGCTTTTTTTTCTTTAATTCCTTCAAAACTGTTCAAATTTGTTTTCAGAACTTCTCCCAGAGCAGGAGAGACTGGCAGCTATATGCAATTAATTCTGTAAACTGTAATGAAAAAAAACTGACACAAATATTAAACTTTCAAAAGATGTCAAGATTTCAAGATAAGTAAGCCTATGCACAGTGTAATCTAAATGCTGAACTGTAATGTATTAAAGTGAATATGCAAATAAACAGCACATATCAAAATAAATTCCACTTCAGCATAATAACAGTCCTTCACAAACCCTAATGACCAGCATGTCTTGGTTTATACATATGCAGATTATTTTCTGCCGAAATTGGATTTCACATTTCACTTTAAATCAAAGAGGAAAATATCTACACACAGTCCTGTATGTACTGTGGGTGACATTAAAACGCTTGGCTGAATACAAAGTTCATTTTTAATTAAAACGTAACATTTAACAAAAATATAATTTATCTTTAAATTACTTTTATGAGTAATCACTTGCCTAAACTTCTATTTATTAAGATATCTATGAATCAAAAACTATAGATCTTAGAACTCTTATATTCCTCAAGTTGTTCAGTCTTCTGATTTAAATAAATAGAAACTCATGCTGAGGGACTGACAGGAGACTACATGGACTGTTGATGAAATGCATCAAAGGAACCCCCTGACAGAAACTTCCACTACACTGGTTTCAATGGTAGAGTTCACAGACAGCCAATGGGTAATATTTCAGTACAGCATGAGAAGATTTACTCGTGTCAATCTCAGTGACACAAATGAGAACAGCAGTACAAACTGAGACAATTTATTCTGATATTGGTTTATAGAATAAAAATAGAGGAGTGGGTAGAAATCACCTCGTAGCAAGTGTCTGGCTCTAAGCACGTGTAGACATTCTGCTGCATATCCAACATATCCTGAAGTAACCCTTTCCAGTGCATCTCACTGACTGGTGGCTGCCTAAATAAATAGGAAAAAAATCAATATTTATTGTCCCCCTTAATGGGAGATGATGCTAGAGTTCCACCTCTGACCCGACATACCACAATTTTGGTTTTTTTTAAGTAAGCATTCCCAAAATCCTCCAGTGATGAGCTATTTGTTGAGCTATTTCTAACAGCACCCAAAAAAGTTGGATAATCATAATTCTGAGACATCAACTCTGGATTATTGCAGTAAATTTAATGCAAGTTATCAAAAAGCCTGATATACATTGTCTGCAACCCGTGGAGACAGCATTATTATTTTTATTTAAATTTTATTTTAATTTGGTGGGAGGAGTTTAGAAAGGATTCTACTAAGCTGTCTATTGGTTCACTATCTCCCGGACTGCTTTTTGATTGTGAATTGACATTTATGTTAGCATTTTCTCTATATTCTTGATATTAAAGTATTTAACTGAGCATCTGACGCTATTAGGTAAACTAGTAAGACATGAGGGTCCAAGAGCCAAGGATCTATACAGATGAGAGGTACTTTTCTTCTACAGCACCTTCTTACTTTAAGAGGGACACTGATTTGATCTATCCAAGCTATTTAAAAACTCTTAAGAAGGCTTTTAGCATGCTTCAGCTATACACTACCCATCAAAGCTGATGGAGCTTTTCTTAGTAAGAGAAGCAGTAATTACAACACACACAAAATGCTGCTTTTTCTCAAGACTTCAGCAATCTGATTTCTCTGTTCTCAATGAAGGGTGTACAATAACTCAGCTACAGCAAGATGGAACATGAAAAATAAGAATATTTTCCAAATAAAAAAAAATCAATAAAAGAAGAAATGGCAGATTCAATTATTGCTAAATACCTGAATTAAAACTACGGATACAAAAGCTCATAAGAAAATCATGTGAAGCCAAAAAAAAAAAATTCTAAAAGATGCTATTTCATAAATTCTGCGCTTTCAGTAAAACAGAATTAGTTTTAAAGGACTTTATTTCCAGTACATTTGTTTTATTGTTCATTTTTAAAGTACATATATGACTGGAAGTATTTTCTCTGCCAATATGCCTTTTAAGCTTGCTTAACTGAACAGAACACAACCATACTGAAATCAGTCTGCAACCATTCTAGCAAGAGGTAGTATTTTTAACAACAACAAAAAGCAGCGAAGCACTTATAGTCAATGTTCAATTTCACGTTAACCAGTTTGTTTTATGGTTATGGTGTTAAGGTTGAAAGAAAAAAGTACTATCATATTGGTGTATAAAGGTGAAAATGCACATTCTCTGAACACGAACATTCTAAGCTGACCAACAGTGTCAGTACTCACTTGCGTCCTGTGTGCCTGGTCAGCCTAATCATAAGCTTCTCTGCTTGCTCTGGGCTGTTCTGCGTATCTTTTACAAATGACACAGGTTTCTGAAGTCCATGCTTCTCCAAAATTTCTGATACACTACAAATATACAGTATAAATCATTCAGCATCTTGCCATTTTGTCCTGCATTAGATCATCATTATTTGTATCATAATATTGCCTAAAGCAGTGTTTCTCAACCTTTTTGATACCTGGGACCAGGGCTTTCTAAACTATCAGGGAGATCTCAGGGACCGGCACCAGTCCACGGACCAGTCGTTGAGAAACAATGGCCTAGAGGCTTCAAACAAGATCAGGGTTCCATTGTGCAAAGCACACTGCACATACACATACAGTGAGAGTCTCTCTCCCAAAGAGCTTACAACCTCAACAGACAAGTTAGACAGAAGATGGGAGGAAGGTAATATTAGTAGGGACCTTACAGATGAGGAGCTGAACTGAGGTTGAGAGAGTAAGTGACTTTGCCAAAGTCATAAATAAAGTCTGTGGCAGAGCCAGAAATTGAACTCTCATCTCCCAAATCCCAAACTAGTGCCATACCACATGAGTATTGTCCCTCCTTCAAACAAAGAATACTTTCAGTAAATATACCACACTGGCATCTAACAGCAATATTTTCAGCAAGTTCCTTCTGAAATGAACAAACTCTATTTTCAATTTCAAACTATTCAAATAATCTATACATATTCAGGAAGAAATGTTATTCTCCAGACACCAGCTGTTTTAATGATAAACCAACCAACCAAAGAGTCTAATATTATTTCAAGGAAGAACATTGTAAACCATCTCACATTTCTTGAATTTTATATAACCTATAAGCATTATAAAATTTGAAAGTTCTGATGATCAGAACATACAAACTTTTCCTAAGCTACAGGGAGCTGACATTACGACAATACCATTGGAAACCAGAAAAAACCCTCCTCATTACTTCCTTTCTTAGATTAACCTCTCCTAGTCATTTTTATGTTTCTCTTCCTATAAATACTCAAGGCATTTGAAACTTGGCTTAGAGGAGAGGTCCTCAATCTGTGGGGCACGCCCCCTAGAACATTCAGGGGGGGCATGGCTGGGGCCCGGGCCAGCCCCCACGGAGGGCAGAAAGGGAGCACCACTCCGCTCCACTCCTGGCCCCAGCCCCGGCTGCGAGCCCCGCGCCCGGGGCTCCACTTCCAGCGGTGGCTACCGACCCCGCGCCCAGGGATCCTGCTCCCGGCCGAGGCTCCACTCCTTCCCCCAGTTATGGTCCCAGCCTCAGCCTCCTTACCCCTGTCCGTATCTCCCCCTCCTGGCCCTAGCTCCGAGGGGTGTGGGCAGCGCAGTCAGGAGTAATGGGGGGGCGCATGGTAAAAAGTTTGGGGACCACTGGCTTAGAGGCTCAGATTTGGCCTAAACCCTTTTGTACACACTACAGATACTCTGACTGCCGTTCCACAAATACGGGAGCGGTTCAGCACTCCATTCTCATCCCTTGCAATCCTAGCTTTGATATTTGATTTGGGGCAGTGGTGGTTGAAATATTTTTTGTAGGAAGAAAGTTACAACCCTAATATTGTAGAAGAATTCAACATTCAGAAAGTATTTTTCCTCTAGATTTGTAGTGAAGGGTTTGGATATGACCTATGACCCTATGCCATGGTAACCTGTACATTCCTGTACTATTCCTCCAATAAAACAAAATGAACTGTTGATATGGTAAATGGTTTTTACCTGAGAATTTGTTCCAGTTCATCTACCTTGTCATGAAGAGTTTTAGTTATGTCTGTTTCCGGGCTGTGAAGGTTTTAAATTAAAAAAAAAATACTGTTGAATGCATGATCCAGTTATTGCTGGTATAACACATTATCGACATGGAAATAAACACCAAAAAGTTGAATATTCATTCTGGAACCTTTCAAAACCCAGATGATGCTGCAGCTTGCACAGAAAGGATTAAAACTGTTGGCTTCTGATAGAAGGAAGGCTAAGAACTTGTGGGTAATACTAGACAACATTGAACCCACCCCTAGAAATACCAGCTCGCTTCTTACCCGACACCTTCCCCTTGAACTCCCTCCGATCCATCCACCTCCACTTTTCCAAGCATGACCTTCCCAAGTGTGGAGATTGGCAATGGACCCAGAAGAATACCAGGTAGCCTAGGGCTTCTCCTGATAGTCAGTCTTTCATCCATTTTCTCCAGAAATGTTGTTTGTCATAGTGCAGTTTCTCTGTAGGAGGGGGCCTGTCCCATGCTGGCATGAATGCTTATGAGCATCAATGCTGTATATATTAGAGACAAGGTGGGTGAGGTAATATCTTTTATTGGACCAACTTCTGTTGATGAAAGAGACAAGCTTTCGAGCTTACATATAGCTCTTCTTTAGGTCTGGGAAATGTACTTCAAGGGTATGTCTACACTACAATTAGACACCCATGGCTGGCCTGTGCCAGCTGACTTGAGATTGCGTGGCTTCGACTAAGGGGCTGTTTAACTGCAGTGTAGACATTTGGGTTTGGGCTGCAGCTCAATCTCAGTGACCCTCCCACCTCTACCTGACACAAAGGCCTGCGGCGTGGGCATGGTCTGGACCGTCTGATTTTGACCTTTTGATTTAGATAATTTGTTAAACATTTTTTTTAACATATATGAAGCACAGGCTCAAACAGTTCAATTAAGATAGGTACTACACCAATTACATTACATACTTTAGCTTTTAATTTATTTTAATTATTTCCCCAGGAGAAAGGAATGTCATCTCAGGGAAAGATTTTAGATAATTCAGAACTATATTTAATGTGTTCTAAAAACATCTGCATATAACAACATATGTATGCTCACCCATATCCTCTTTGTGGAAGGCATTCCAAAATATCATAACAAAGGGAGAGCTGGTCATCTCGGTCGCAACTATAGATACATTCCAGTGCCATACTCATCAGCTGGTCCTGATCAGGAATTATTTTTTGCTGACACTATCAAAAACAGAATATATTTTGCTATATGTTGAAACTTTTTTTTCCATTTACAGTCAGTTTTTCCATATTCCAGTGTTACTGTAAATACAATCTTAACTAGTGCAAGTACAACTATAAAACCAATTTAGTGATTTCTTTTTAATTAGAGGCTCTCTGGATCTTTAATAATTCTCTGTGAAATATCTTTTGTAATTTCAGAAAATGCAACAAAGGCTAATCTCTATCCTCTGTGTACTGAACCTGTCTGAAAGAGCAAGACACTTGCAACTGAATCCTATTTAATTTTGAAAAAGCAAATATTTTAAACAGGCAAATTATTAAAAAAAATGTAGATGCTTGAAACCATTATTTACACACATCAAAGGAATTTACTTCATTTGCACATTAACAGCATCAATTCTGTAAAATGCTGCAGTTATTGTGTACAGCCCATCCACCACACAACCCACTACTGCATGCAGCAGAAAAATGAGGTGCTTCTAACAATTATGTCAATTTATGATTCATGAATCTCAAACTGTATTTAAAACTGTATAGACATACTACAATAATTCATATAGCTCCAAATAGCTGAAGTACAGCCTTATATTGCCAGAGTATTTTATATTTTACTGAAGAACCATTTAAAAGTTTCCATGCTTGTAAAAAGACCAGTTATTCACTGTTGCAAAAGCACTCCCCTCCCCCACTAACAATGTTGTGTTATTTTTCTCTGCATCGGGGCCACATTTTGTAGGTACCTTCAATGTAGATCAACTGCCAGTGTTTTTACCATCATGTCAACTTGTGCTGCTTGGATCAGTAACAGTGGATGCCAATGTACACACGATCTCACACTACTGTATATGCAGGATGTGATATGGAGAAGAGTGATACAAGGGTGTATTATGGGAAAAATACACTTTTTTGCAATAGTGTGTCTTTCAGTAAGGATGTAATTACTTACAAACTATCAGTGATACAGCTCCATTTTTTAGTAGAGCAGTGATAGGAGAATTTGCGAAAGTTTTCAGCATAGACAACACTCAAAAAAAGGTTTACAAGCTACGCAGTTCTGCTACTTCCCGTTACCCATTGATTCCCTGGACCTATCTATATAGGACAACATATGTGGGTATTTAAGTCCTTCTACTTGACTACGAGGAAGGAGAGAGATAGTGGGGAAAGGTTACTCTGAAAGTGACGGCTCATAAGCCTGTCACAGTGGATGACTATGTAGTAATGAGAAATTCTTGATATCATTTTATCGGAATAGTCATAACTTAGCAGAGGTGACAATTGTACTGAATGTGCTTCCATAATAGATAAAATATTAAGCATTTAGGGTGAAATTTTCAAAAACACTCAGTGTCAGCCTAACCCTGCTCCTATTGAAATCAATGGTAAAATTACCACTGACTTCCATAGGAGTAGAGTCAGCCAACACTGAAAAAGATTTTCAAAGTCCCATATCCCTTAGTTCTTTCTTTCTCACGTACCACCACCAATAACAAAAGTTCCTGCAGGCCAAATTCTGCTCTCACTTGGACTGTGCAAACCCAATGTCTCCAGTGAGGCTGTGTGGGAGTAAGCAAGTGGAAATGAGTAAACACTTCCATTGATGATGCACAAGGAGGAACATCATCTAGCTATCTCACTTTTAACTCTGCAGAGCAGACACTGACAAGCGGTAAAAAGTTAGTTGGGTCGGTTAAACAATAAGATATGCCTGAAGACACACAAGGAGCAGACCTGCTGAGTAAGAAGTCATAATTTTTAGCAACACTTTTCCAGAGTAGAACCACACTTCAAAAGTAGGTAGCTAGATAAACAATCAGTTGGGGGAGAGAGGGCCAAAACTTGTGTTTATTAGGCCATCATATGAAATACAATTTCACTTGCAATTTTGATTGGCTCCTAAAGGCGCAGTTAATTCATCTGCAGAACTATTCTCTAAATATCATTTTTGTGAGATGTAAGAAGTGACTGTTGACACCCTCTTCTGAGCAAAGAGGTTATTGCTCTGCAAATGAAACACCAATCATATAACACAGGGATCGGCAAGCTTTGGCATGCGGCCCGTCAGGGAACTCCGCTGGCAGGCCGGGATGGTTTGTTTCCCTGCAGCGTCCGCAGGTTTGGCCGATCGCAGCTCCCACTGGCCTGGAACAGCGAACCGCGACCAGTGGGAGCTGCAATCAGCCAACTGGCGGACGCTGCAGGTAAACAAACTGTCCCGGACCACCAGCGGATTTCCCTGACGAGCCGCGTGCCAAAGGTTGCCGATCCCTGATATAACAGTTCAGGGCTGGGACATGAACTTTGCTGCAGTTCTATCTTTTGAAAGATTACATTATAAACTATAAATTGAATCACCAGAGTACCAAGTTTTTGGATCAGATTTAAAGTAACTCAAATATTGATCTCATTCATATGGAACTACAGCCATCAGAAGCAACTTAAAATCTGTATCTGAAGTGAGAATTAGCTGTATTGATGTTTTGTTATCATAGCAATTATATTAATTTGCTGTTTCTTCCATCTTCTAGGTCATTAATGAAGATGTCACATACCACTGATCCAAGAAACAATATTGGTGGCTTCCAATTCGAACTTGGCACACTGCTATCTTTCACTGTCTCTTGCTTTCCATTTTTAGACAAAGGTCAATCCACACACAAATATCCAAGGCAATGTCAATGTTCCAATTAAGGTTTCATGAAATACAGTATTTAGTATTTTACTAGAGTCCAAATCTATTACTGTGGTGGAAAAGCTATCAGGCATGTTTGTCTAACAAGATTTATAAAACCTTGCTGTTTATTATACATAGTTCTGTTGCCCTCTAGATATTTAATGATTTATTTGATCTAAATATTTGTTCCATTAGTTTACTTTGAATCAGGTCCTGATTAAGGCAACGTAGGCCCTGAGGCACAGCGTGACATTGGACTCCCATGGTTTTACCCCCTGTGGACCTATGCCCCAACATCCATTTCAAGTAGGGGCAGCAGGGGGTCTTCTCCCCTTCCAAAAGAAGCTGGGACAGTCCTCTATTTTCAGAAGCAGTAGAGGTGTCCTTCTCTACCCTACGAGGAGAGGTAGAGGAGGTAGAACTTGCCTTGGCAGCCAGAGTGTGACTATGCAGGAAGTGGGTGTGTTGGTGTGGTTATTGATTGTACACTTAAAACACAGGACGGGAATATTAGGATTTAAGCTGGACCTTTCTGCTACGTATGTTTTAGAAATCTAAATAAATAACTAAACAAATAAATGAACTTTATATGAACTGACGAGGGCTGTGGGTGAATGTAAATTTAAAATATCTAACTACACACATTTCGATCTAGCTACTGGAAAAAGGTAGTTTAAATAATGGATGCAAAGATGAATGGAAAGGGATACAGCTTATTTTATTAAAGTTCTATTGTGGTCCTTCTACTTTCTTATTAATTTCAGCATTTTTATCTACAGTGATCAATATCACTGCTTTTTTCCCCTCATTAATAAGGCAAAGAAATACTTCTTACCAACACTTTTAGTGGGAAAAAAATGAAAGCTGGTAAAATTCTTCAGGGAAAGGCATCAGACAGAAGTACTCAGAAAAATATTTTAAGAGGCTTCAAACAAACAAACAAAATATTTAGCCATATTCAGAAAATGAAGTTCAATGCATTACCAAAAAATGACATTCGGAAGAATCCCTACTAATTTCTACTCCACTGGGTATTTCTCCTAGTGATTAATGATTAACATATCTTTTGACATCCTGATCAAGAACTATGATTTAACCATACATTAGAAATTCTGTTTTAACCTTGTTTAGGGAACGTATTTTCATATCTGCATGACAAATGTTCAGTGAAAAGGAAAAAAAGGACAGTCAACCTCTAAAACTGATCGGGAAACAAACAAACATTACTTATGAATCCAGTTCTGCATGATAAATTATAGTTTTCAAATAAGCCAATAAATAAAACAACTATGAATCTGTACTTACATCTGGTTTTGAATTTTGAAAGATCTTCAGAGGAAATTTCAGGTCTTCCTTTGCTAAGCTTACTAAATACTCCCTAAAAAGTGTGTTTGCAAGACCAGGGGACTGATTTTCACAGCGATGTAGAAATGGGACCATCCACTGATAAACATTCTTCACATATCTTTCATCAGAAGACTAGAAAGTGTAAGAAGTTAAACAAAACAAATGAAAACTGAATGATAAAAACCAGTTCCTTTTTTTAAAAAATGAAAAAAGGTAAAAACAAATTGTATTATGTGTAACAGTAATAAACTGCCCCCATCATGCATCATCAGCACCGTCTGAACCCTTAGCTTGCAGCACAAACTCCTACTTAAACTACAGAATTAATTAAATTAACTGGCAGCAGGAGAAGACTGTCATCCAAGATGGGAGGGACGGGCTATTGAGTCTAAGGGAGTCTTATAGAAAAGCTCAGCTTTCTCATTCCTCAGCCCCCTTGACTACAGCTGACCTGGTCATACCAGGCATTCCCAGTGCAACGTCCCATCCCACTGCTGCTTTGGTGGTGGCATGAGCCCAGCCTTACCATATTCATATTAAATTATTTTGGCAGGCTGCCAAAAGTTTCCCAAGGAATGCAAGCAAGAGAAAATAAATAGTGATTTTCAATAGAGTATGTCACGAGAAGTCATTCTTCCACTCTACTCTGCGCTGGTTAGGCCTCAGCTGGAGTATTGTGTCCAGTTCTGGGCGCCACATTTCAAGAAAGATGTGGAGAAATTGGAGAGGGTCCAGAGAAGAGCAACAACAATGATTAAAGGTCTTGAGAACATGACCTATGAAGGAAGGCTGAAAGAATTGGGTTTGTTTAGTTTGGAAAAGAGAAGACAGAGAGGACGTGATAGTAGTTTTCAGGTATGTAAAAGGGTGTCATAAGGAAGTGGGAGAAAACTTGTTCATCTTAGCCTCTAAGGATAGAACAAGAAGCAATGGGCTTAAACTGCAGCAAGGGAGGTTTAGGTTGGACATTAGGAAAAAGTTCCTAACTGTCAAGGTGGTTAAACATTAGAATAAACTGCCTAGGGAGGTTGTGGAATCTCTATCTCTGGAGATATTTAAGAGTAGGTTAGATAAATGTCTATCAGGGATGATCTAGACAGTATTTGGTCCTGCCATGAGGGCAGGGGACTGGACTCCATGACCTCTTGAGGTCCCCTTCCATTCCTAGAGTGTATGAATCTATGAATCTGTGTCTCAGCATAACATGAACAGAATTTCATGGGACAAAGAAAAGGTACTTCTCTCGCCTAAGGACATTCCACCTGCTGAATTTCAAAGGCTTGCTGCACACATTGGAAGTGTTTCAAAATAATAATAAATAATAATAATAATAATAAAAAAAAATCACAAGACTCTTTTTGTAATGGCAAATGTTAGACAAACTACATATTGGGTTCACTATCTGTTTCCTCTTACAATATAAATTGGATAAAAAAAGATGGATGTTGCACAAGAAAAAGAAGACTGAAGAACCAGAGAAGATTTCAGACGAGTTTATCTGCTGCACAGAAATGAGCTGAGATTTAGCTGATAATAGTTATAAACATCAAAAACCATCTTAAAAAAAGTGCTCTTATAACTTGAGCAGTAGCAATAGTAATACTTAAGGCATTTCTATCCTATTCCCGTTTTCAGTCAATCATGGCTTGCAGTCTGAAATTATTCAGACTTAGTCTCCGGGGGGGTGGGGGGGAGGGGGTTGTTTTCATTTTATTTTTAAAATGAGACAAAATGGTTCCGCTGTTTTCCAAAAATACCATTTCCACATTATTAAAAAAGAAACAAATCTAGTGCCAATGCTGTTTGGGATATGGATGGATAATAAATGGAAATGTGACAGGGAAACACCTCTGGCTGAAGAGCACTGTTATGTTACACATGCAAGGAGTCTATATAAGCATGGAAATTATTTAGGCTCAACACTCTAATGCATTTTCAAAAATACGTACATTCATCATTAACAGTCTTAGTTTTTCACTATCTTTCATCTCCTGCAGATCTTTCAAGGTTAGGGTTAGATCACACCCAGTCTCATAAATCAGCATCTCCAGAGTAACCAGGTTATCACAAAGCACCTGCAGACCAGGAATGTTCCTCTCCATGCCAAGTCGAACCAGGGACAGAGCACAGTCCACCTGAAAATAAGAAAAAAAATTATGTTGTTACTTGATTGTTTCTTTTTGGTAATCAATACTTGAACTAGTCCTAACTGGTCCCTCAGATATTGTTTTTCCAATTTTTTTTCCAGGTAGGAGTAGTCACTAAAGAGCCAGATGAGGTTTTAAAAACAATGGTATCATCTTTGTCTTTGTTGTTTGAAATCTCTTTTGTGTTACTGAAGGGTTTGGAAGTGAGAGTTCCCTGTCCTTTCCCACGCATACTTACAAAGAACTTGATTAGTCTCAGCAATCCAGAGTTTGAGCCAGAGTAGTGTCATGGTCACTGAATTAGGTGTCATTGCTCTTACTAGAAAGTTCAGAGACTACAGGAATCAGACCTAAAAAGGTACAACTAGGGATATTTTCTTTAAAATAGAGAAAAAATATTCCCCATTTAATTGGTCTGTATTCTTTAGGTCACTGCATCAGGACACTGCTACCTGGACAAATCATGTGGTTGTTAAAGAAGCTTTCACAGCTACTGCTAATGCTTCAGAATCCTTGTGGTGGGTACCTCGTATCTTCCCGTCCTATAATCTTTCGGGAGACAATACTCCGAGGGAACTACCCTATCCTTAGAGGGGAGGGATAACTCAGTGGTTTGAGCATTGGCCTGCTAAACCCAGGGTTGTGAGTTCAATCCTTGAGCAGGCCATGTAGGGATCTAGGGCAAAAATCTGTCAGGGACAGTACTTGGCCCAGCTAGTGAAGGCAGGGGACTGGACTCGACTCAATGAGCTTTCAAGGTCCCTTCCAGCTCTATGAGATAGGTATATCTCCATATTAAAAAAAAAATCCTTGGATAGGGAGGCCACAACTGCATCCACATTAGACATCTGAGCTAGGGAAGTGTTGGAGATCATTAATCTTACAGAACTAAAAAAAGCTGTTTGTTTAGCTTCTTGAATTTTAGACAGCCAGCTCTGGCATGGACCTCACAAAATCTTAAAATTATGTGGGCAGTAATACAGCAGCTTCCGATTAACCTTTTGGTGGTACATACTTCCCTTTCCTTTTCCTTTGGTATAGGTTTCATGACCTAAATTGTGATTACTGCCCTGCACATCCGATCAAAGTGGAAAATACATTTCCTAAAGGTCAGGTTCTGTTTTTTTCCTCGCGATCTAACTCAGACAATTCTCTCTCCTTATCGAAGAGGAATTTAGGAGATGGATGACCGCTAGCAATGATTTCACTCTCACCTCATCCCCAACACACACCCTTTAAAGGGAGCCATTGACCCATCTGAGTAAGGGTCTGCTCGGTCTTTGAAGAGTTAGGATAGGAGAGGCTAGCTTTTAATCCACACCTGAGAGAAGTTGGGGGGTAGGGATCAACCATAAAAGTGATGCCCACTAAACGAAAGTGACTCCTCCTGCAAGGCAGAAAGAATACTGGTTGTTTCCCCAAGTTAATGACAACCCGTTTAAACACATTAAAAGAAACACTCGCACTTTTCCTAGATCTTGCCCTTTTGCGCTGGACCCAGAGAAATTCTTGAATAGGGAGTGATTTCATTTGCAACTGACAGTTGTCTGCTTTGACAAGTATCTGCATAGCATAGCAGTGCTCTTGGGAGAGGACTGGAGTCCTGGAACAGTGGGAGGCTCAATCCAGCCTGAGAGAATGAATCCCTTTCAGTCAGTCATTGTTCAGTAGGCTGTGAGCAGGTTACACAGTCTGCAGAAGCTGGGAGAGAAGCTTCATAAAGGAGCACCTTTTTGTCCTTAATACGATGCACATTTCCTGGCTTTACTACTGTTTGAGACTGCACGTATATTGCTGGTCGTTTGTTTTATTTTTCTTTATTGGGGAGGAGGGGGAAAGTGGAAGGCAGGGAAGTGAAATGGAAGAACTACAGGATTCCCAAACAAGCTACAAACCAAACTACCATAATTTCCCCCCAAGTCTTGCAGAAGCCATCTCCTGCTGAGTGGACAGAGTTACATGGCAGCAAGACTTCAGCTGCCTGACATAGATTAGCAAAAGGAGGACAACCAGCACTCACAACTAGTGGAGAGATTATGACATAGAAACAAAATATTTGCTCTTCATCTCTGCTAACTAGCTTATTCCTCATAAGCACAGCAGCTAGTAAACATCTTAGATAAGAATGGTGAAAAGGCCAATAAAAAGGTACAGTCAACTAACTTTCAAATACTGAAAGGAGGTGTTTGGAAATGAGGGTGTGAGATTAAAAGATACGGGAGATTTATTAGTACAAACACTCTACATATGCATCTGACGAAGTGGGTATTCACCCACAAAAGCTTATGCTCCAATATGTCTGTTAGTCTATAAGGTGTCGTTTTTTACAGATCCAGACTAACACGGCTACCCCTCTGATACTCTACATATGATATCAAAATGTGATGGATACAGAGGCAGATGAACTGTTACTAAATGGCAGATGACTGCAAGTAAATGAGTTAAAGTACAGAAGTTGAGTACAGAAAAAAAAATCAGACAAAAACTTGACAAACAGTAATAATACTGCATTTTGTTTTTAATAGTACATCCACATTTTCTGAACATTAATTCTAATCTGTGTCTTTTCTAGTATCATCTGTGAATCTGTCGCCTTTGCAAATTCTTACTGAACTAAAAACAAACTTCCAAAAATCAATTAAATTACTGACACGTTAAATTAAAAACTGTGCTCCAGTGTAACACAAAGAGCTGTGTATTATAGGAAAACCTCACTGGATACAACTAACCATCATAACATTTTTCGAGGCCAATGTAAATGATTTCCAAAGGCATTTCTGGGCACTAAGAAAAAATATTCCCTATATTTTTTATCTTTCTTAAAATGCAAGGGGAGATTAATCTTTTTATTAGTTAAGGATTTTAATTCTGTAGGCAACTAGAAACATTATCTTTTACTGTTATTTTAATCATTAAAAGAAAGGGTCTACAATGAGGGTATCTGGAAAGATTAAGAATTTTATGAAACGTCTATGAAACTAGGAGGATCAATTAACTCAGGAATATAAAGAAATAAGAGCTCAGGTTGAGCTGTAAAATGAAGTACTTAAAATTACTAATTAATAGACACGGGAGTATTTTAAACATCTCTACGTTGTTAAACCATAAGTGAACTGCAATTATCTGTGACATTCCACAGAGGATTCTCAAAACTACAGTCAGGGATAGAGCATGTCATAACATTAATAGTAACACTTTCCATTCTCATGGCACCATTCATCCAAGGATCTCAAAGTGCTTTACACATTTTAAAGAGGTGGGGAAACTAGGGGTACGTCTACACTTACCGGAGGGTCCGGCGGCAGGCAATCGATGTTCTGGGATCGATTTATCACGTCTGGTTTAGATGCGATAAATCGATCCAGGATCGATCCCGGAAGTGCTCGCCGTCGACGCCGGTACTCCGGCTCGGCGAGAGGAGTACGCGGCATCGACGGGGGAGCCTCCCTGCCAAGTCTGGACCTGCGGTAAGTTCGGACTAAGGTACTTCGAATTCAGCTACGTTATTAACGTAGCTGAATTTGCGTACCTTAGTCCGAAGTGGGGGGTTAGTGGGGACCAGGCCTAGGGCACAGACAGGCTGCATGACTTGCCCAAATTCACACAGTTAGTTGGCCTGACATCACAGCTGAGTTCCCTGATTAAGCCACTCACTATTCAACACTTCTTCCTTTAGATAACATGAACATAAAATATGTAGCAGAAGGGAAAATGCACTTCACAGCTGGGAAAGTTTTGCTATTTTCTAGAGCCCAGGTACAGATAGGCCGAAGGAAATTTACTAGATTCCTCCATTCACACCTATGAATCATCACAATTCAGCTGAGTAAACCTTAAACAGGATTGAATTCAGGAAACACACTCTAAAACAATCTCTAAATTGAGAGAGTAATTTGGGGTCATCTAAAATTACTATTTGGCAGCAAAATAGTTTTCTTTCCCTCTACGTGCAGATATGAAAAATAAAAATCTGTGAACCCATACTTAATTCCATGGCAAGCGCCCCAATGACCTAAATAGGCCAGCATTTTACATCACTGTCTGCAATCATTACCAATACTCAGTTCAGACAGTTTGCTATCGCCTACTTTTGACACAGCTTAATTAGCTTCGAAAAGCAATAAAATGCTTGCATCTATGCCAACAATCACTATTTCTGTGCTGCTGTTCTTACCTGCATAGCATAGTTCTCAATCTCCTGTGCCCTATTCCAGTACCAGTCAGAAACCAGGTCTATCGAAAGCTTAGTAGTTCTGTACTTTAATAACTCAGGTTGTGCTTCATACAAGAATTCATCTTCATCTTGAAGAACTGGTTCAAATATTCTGAGAAGAGCAGACAAAAAGTTACAAAGGTATACACAGATGGACTGAGGCAGTGACACATACCATTAAAGTTACTTAAAAATCCATGTGCACAAAGATGAAGAGTTAATATTGTTATGAGTCCCTGAAATTCACCCACGAAAGCTTATGCTCCATTACGTCTGTTAGTCAATAAGGTGCCACAGGATTCTTTGTTGCTTTTTATAGATCCAAACTAACACGGCTACCCCTCTGATACCTGAACTCATAGTTTCTCTACTTTTATGTAATTAAAATTTCAGATTTAACACTGCATTAGCATAGTGTTGTTGTTTTGAATATATTTTTGTTACATGAGCTTTTAATTGTCTACCAACTTAGGCATAAATAGTAAAGACAAATATTTTAGTCATGCATTCCATCAACCTTATTTTGGCAACCTCTCAGAGTGTTCTTTTTAACACACACACACACACACACACACACACACACACACACACACACACTCTCTCTCTCTCTCTCTCTCTCTCTCTACTCTC